AGTGCGGCCGGTCTTTGGCGAGGTAGGTTGCAGTTTACGGTCAGGCTCCGAATATTCCATCACCGCAACATCGACGAAACGGTCCATTCGACGCCTGGGCGTGTAGGCAGTCTCAGGTACCAACGCTTGAGCAACTGGAGGGGGAGGGCGGAACAGCTTGCGCTCCCGTAGCAGCTCCTCGTATTCGTCGGCTCGCTCGATGAGGTCGGGTAGCGTGACAAAGTCATGACGTCGTATCATGAACTTGTACTCCGGCCTCATGTTCAAGTACACCAGGTCGATGGTTTCCTGGTTAGAGAAAGTGCCGCTCCGTCGGATCAGGGTTGTCAGGGCAATCACAAAATCTTTAAATGCCTCTGTTTCACCCTGAGTGCGCTTCCGTATCTCGTCATCCAAGTGGCGATGATAGCCAGCAGGGAAGAACTGGACCTCGAATGCCCGCCTAAAGTCGTGGAAGGAACGCCACATCATTTTGTTGTTCCTGTACCAGAGGAGAGCTTGGCCATGTAGAAGTGAAGGCAAAGCCTTCAAAACGTCCTCTGGCGACAGAGAGTAGGCCTCGCGCAGCTCCTCTAGACGCTCCAGGAACGAAACCGCATCTCGTCTGCCGTCGAAGCGCAAGTTCCACTTCCGGACCTTGTCACAGAGGGCGGACGACGTTTTAGCAACGTCCTCATGCAGGTCATGACTCCGCAGGACGTACGAAGACCGGACACCTCCATACACATCGTTCGTCCGAGACGGGACGGCGTACCGAGAGGTTAGCTGGTCCATCTCGTTAGCTGGCGGCTCAGCGTAGTCAGCATCATGTGTTCTTGGGCCCCGCCGTTCGAGGTTCAACACCTCGGCTAATGTGTGCTCCATGCTGCGCAGGTCGGCATTGGTCGATAGGCCTAGCATTTGGCGTATGCGGTCCAAACTTCGATGTATTGGGTCCTCGAAGGGGTATTCCCGAGGCAGAGACCCTTGAGCCGAGTCGAAGGTATGCTGGGCATCAGTAACGTCCTCTTGTCCGGCGAAGGACAGTTCGTGCGGTGCCGAGGTGACCGCAGCAGGTGGGCTCTGACGCTGGAATGTCGCAGGGGGTAGGCCTACGAGTCCATAGGTACCAGGTGGTCTCCAAGCAGTAGGTTGATGCGTTGACCCCGTTCGGTAGTCGAAAGGCGAAAGGCGTGGAGTAGGCTCATGCATCGAAGTCCGGGCCTGGTTATCTAACACCTGGCCAGTCATAAGCACCTCCTCCTGGGAAGTTGCGGGGGTCTGAGCACCAGCGTTGATCCGCCAGTATAGGCAAAGGCGCCTGCGAAGTTCCTCTACCGTGCCATGGGTGGGTAGGTCGAGTCGCTCCACTTCAGCGATCAACTGTAGTTTAGACAACCGGTAGATCCATCCAACGCGAGGATCTTCCGTTGGGGCGAGCGGAGCGGAGTAGCCGGTCGAGGTCATTGGTCGTGTGTACACCGTCGATGTTGTGGTAACCGTCGATGCGCAAGAGCAGGTGGGGATAACCGATGACGTAGTCACCACGGCACCAGCCGTGGTTAGAACTCCTGGCGTCGTACAAACTTCAGGGAGTGAGTTAGGCATAGCTGCAAAGTATTAGTGCACAACAAAACAAACAAATGGCAACAACAATTTACAAGGCTGAAATTGCTTAACAATTTTGAAAAATCCACAATAGGCCTATTTAAATTCAAGCCTAACGTTAAACAGCACTAATTAAGTCCAAACCAGACAACTTTAAAAAAAAAAAAATTTTTTTTTTTTTTTTTTTTTTTTTTTTAGTAGCACGAAAACTCTTCAAATCGAAGACGAAAGGACGAATAATTAGCGAATGCCTCAACAAAAGCCGGGAATACGAATGAACCGTTACACCCCCTCCACACTTCGGAACGAAAAAAAAAAAAAAAAAAAAAAAAAAAAAAAAAAAAAAAAAATTAAAGCCAAACCCTGCGTCCTGCGTCTGAGGCCGGGCTACGGGAGAGAAGATGAGCAGCGAGGTCACCTTTGAGCGGTACGCGGCTGTAAGCCTGTTAAAGCTACCATGCGCCTGCCTTTCGCTGCCAGTTTTTTTTTGTTTCGGTAACTCGTTGACCAATCAGGAATCGTTTTAACTTTCGTCTCGATTCGGAGACGAAGGTGAAGTAAGAAGAAGTTTTGTGAAGTTTTGGTCATTCGTAATCCCGGCTTTTCGTAAGTTTGTTTCGCTTTAAATTTTTGTTAAAATAGGACTAAGTCCAAACTGCTCCAAAATCCAATAATAAAAAGGCTAAAATGCAATAGGCTACTATAAAGTAAACGTTTTACCTAAAATAAATAGGCTATCACACAAATAGGCTAAAATATTTAACGCTAAACACCAATAGGCCTAGGCTAGCAATAGGCTACAATGACGAAACCAGAAAATATGTAGGCCTAAGCTACCTAATAAACTAGAAATGCTAGGCTAGAACGTTAACGTAGAATAAAAAATAACAGTAGGCCTAGGCAAACACTTGATAGGCTAGAGCGGTTAACGTAGGCTAAAATCTTACAACTCGACTTCAGCTGCTACAGCGATCTTAGCTTGAGCTCACCAAGTACTATCAGACTATCCAATCACTGGTCCCTGTTCGGGCGCCATTTATGTGACGTAATTTTCCTGGCGGACGACAAGAGGGAAATTACGCCACCGGTAAGAAAACGAGATCCCAGGATTCGCCCTAGTCTGGTCGCGGGGAGTTTCCCAGGAGTCGATAGTGATTCGGATAGCCTAACTTTGATAGCCCTGGTTGTCAGAGCTCGAGACGAACGTTGCGGGTTACTAAACACCCTACTCGAAATCACCACTCTAGCCTCGGGCTTGTGGGGAAATAAATAATTTTGACTTGACTCTGTGGGCAAATATCTAAATGACACACTACTAGCTAACTTAACAAATCAACAAGTAAGCTAAGTAGGCACTCCGCTTACCTACGGAGTTACGTCGTCACCCTGAAACAAACAAGGTTAGTACAAGATAGGCCTAACCTAGCCTAACTCCCACAGAGTCTGAATTTACTAGACAAGAAAACGAGTTGGCTTAAGTTGTCCAAGTGAGACACGAAACGGGAGAAAAACTGAAACTCAAAATAAAACTGCTTCAAGAGCTGATACGAAAAAAGAAAAACTAAAACTTCAACTTCCCCACGTGTTCAACTTAAGCAAACTTCTGCAATAATTATCAAGCAGAAACCTGTCTGCCGGGGCCAACTTCGGGGCGTTCGGGAACTTTATAAAGGGGTTTAAGAATTTAAAAAGAAAGTCCCAGATGGATTATGAAACGTAATTGAAAATATATTTCACCAACTGCAGTACTTTACTCAAATTGTTGGTTAAGGCGTATGACTAGGTCTGCGAATCAGGCCTAGCCTTCAAGTTCAACCAAGTTTCGTACACGAAAACTGGTCAAGTAATATACAATAATCTGTAAGTTAGTTACAAAACTTACCCGATGACGAAATTATAGAAAAATATTCACTACGAACCAATACGTACGAACTTAAGCTTTCAGAGCTTGCGATACGCACTTTTACTTCCACGAATTTTCGAGAACCAACCAAAAGCGAAACAAACTTACGAAAAGCCGGGATTACGAATGACCAAAACTTCACAAAACTTCTTCTTACTTCACCTTCGTCTCCGAATCGAGACGAAAGTTAAAACGATTCCTGATTGGTCAACGAGTTACCGAAACAAAAAAAAACTGGCAGCGAAAGGCAGGCGCATGGTAGCTTTAACAGGCTTACAGCCGCGTACCGCTCAAAGGTGACCTCGCTGCTCATCTTCTCTCCCGTAGCCCGGCCTCAGACGCAGTCGAACAGCCAAACAACCAAACTGACACCAACGTCGTCTGCGGTCTTGGAATTTGAGGTTAGGTACGACGTCAGTTTAGTGTCGCGACTAGGCTTACTCAACAGCTAATGTTTAGCTGTTTAATGTTCGTGGTCTAGATCGTTATATTTTTACCCCCCTACCCATTTGACTCGTTACATACGGTTAAAGATAATGACATTTTTATTGCACCAAAATAGTCGGGGTGATTAGACCTTTAAATTGATGTATCACACAACCCATGTTTACATTTGAAAATTTCTCAAAAAGCACCCCTACCCCCCAAATTGGGCCCTTTTGGGGCATTTTTCGAAATTGAAAATAATTTTATTGGATTTGGCATGTCCAAATTAGGGGGAAATGAGAACAAACAAGTGTTAAAAGCCTTACCTTTGCACACAACAGATATGGAAAGTTTTCAAATGAACACCCTGTATATACGTCCGTGAACGCGATAACTTGAGTAATTTTTGTCCGATTTTGATGAAATTTGGTTTAAAGGTGTAAAGCGGGATAAACTTAAATGAGTTCGCGAACCAGCACGATCGGACCATGGGAACAGGGCTTTACGGGGGGTTTTATGGGGTAAAAATTGGTTTTTCTCACTTTTGACCCTCAAAACACAAAATTTCCTGATTTCTCTTTACACCTTTTTAAAGAGCTTAAAAAAACAAATAATTTAGTATATAAAAGTATTTTTGTTCAATTATTAGTAACGGAGAAAATTAAAAAAAAATGTAAATTTAAAATTCCCATGTTATTCTTATGGAGAATATTGTCAAAAGTTGTAGTTTGCTTGTTTATGGATATATTTTGATCAAACTTGGCAAATTTATTTATTTTGTACTAAGCTATCAATATTTTACTCAAAAACACACTTTATTAGTTTCCTTGTAGCAGCAAACCTAGGTACTCGTTAAACCTAATGTTATTAAAATATATTTAACTGAAAATCAATTCAGACAAATGGAAATTCGCTTAGTCGGCAGGTTTGCTGCGGCGGGGGTATTTTTAATATTTTCTGATAACTATAACCTGTTTGAATCAAAATACAAGTTTTCAATTTTTAATAAAATGATGAAATATTGAAATTAGTCATGGAACGTGAAAGGAAAGCTGTTAAACTTTCAAATAATCAACAAAATTACCTTAGGTTGTTTGCGATAAGTGTCGACACACTCGACGTTCAGTTTGATGAACTCGATGTTGCACTTGTAGCCCTCGATGGTCATCTTGATGACAGTGTGCAATGGGACGTTGATATATGGCAGTTCATCTGGCAACAAGAGAATTAAAGTCAAAACATGAGTACTTTTAATATGATAATAATATGTCAATAAGGTTGAAGTTGCAGATGTTTAACTGAGTAAAGAAACGTAGAGCGATCAACTGATTTTGTCTATTACTTAGGTATTATTAATTATGAATGTTATGGCGTTAAAATAATTCACAGGAGTTAAGCATTTGATATTTTGGGTATTCTATGATGTATCTAGTTTTAAGTAATCTTCTAGATGCCGTCATAAATATGTTTTGAAATAAATCTGTCTGGTTTCACAAACAATCTTCAGGCTTTGAAGATATTTCAGATTCTTATAGCCAAAAACATTGATAAAATATTTTTTACTAATTTAATCTTAATAAACTTTTGCTTTGAATGATTACTGAATCCTAATGAAAATTTCTACAATGGCAATTAATCTTTGAATGGTTAAATTTAAAACTGGTTTGTTCTCTTGATAATCATATTTTATTTATTTTTAATCTTGGACCAAAGGGTTCATGTTGGCTCACTATAAAATATTATTTTCATGCTGTCTATTTCCTGGCGTTTTATAACGTTACTAAATCGGAAATTCATGCTAAAAATAAAAATTTATATTAAACGGCCATAAATAAAACACCTCTCTTGAAAATATTTAATTTAAATTCTCGCTGTAATTTGTACAACCTTGAGTGTATTTGATTAAATAACAATGTAGAAGAAAACTTTGAACCAAACGTTTTCTTTGATAACAACAAAATATCCAAATTATCAAACACGTGTATTGTAATCAAGAGAACAATTTTACGCAGTTTATTTTGACTGTTATTGCAAAAAGTATCTCAAGGACATATCAAGGTGACGCCTGCAACAGAAGCCAAGTCTTCAAAGTCACAGTCTGCATTATCTTCAATGTCAAAGGTTGTGATAAATATAACAAAAGAGAAAAAATTGTTCTGATGTGCGAAATCTTTGTTGGGTAACTAGGGGTTATCACAACACCATAACAGGTTGCTAACCTTATTTTTTTATCTTAGAGTTGTCTAGATAGGCTAAAAAAAGCACTTAGTATTTTTTTACGGATGATGAAAAATTTAAAAAACCTTGTATCATGCCTAAAACAAAAAACAAATATTGTTCAATTTGTCGGTAAAAAAAAATTATTCCATTTTAGTTTCCCCAAGTCAAAAGTTAACTTATCAAGATAAAAAGGGTTAGAAAGTGTGTTTTTTTTTTTGTTAATTTGTTGCAACAGTGTAAATGGACCAATAAAGAAAATATCCATATTTTATATTTATAATTGATAACTTTTGTCCCTTCTAAATTTTATTAAAATACAAATTAAGTACATATGGGAGAAAAAGTGTGTGTTAAATTTTTCAACTACAAAGCCCAACTGATAAACTATGCTTTCCTGGCACGCTCTAGTAAATTGCTCACAAAACTCATTTTCATGGTATCAGCTTCGCCCTACCTGTGACATTAGGTGATAATGTCACTTTCAGAAACTTAACACAAACGAACATTTCATTTTCAGTACATGTTACAAATATTCTATTTACATCATCCATAATCTATTTTGGAAGAAAACTGAACGAAAGCTGAACTCACCCAAACTCTTGTTCAAGAAGTATCCGAGGATGCAGCGCAAAACGGCCTGGTGACTGATGGTCAGAAGATTGTCCTCGTGTTCAAGCTCCAGCAGTACGGGAGCCAGCCGAGCCATGATGTCAACGTAAGACTCTCCCCACGGATAGCGGTAGCGCAGTTTGTCCTGGTCCCGCCACGCAAACTCCTGCGGGAACTTGTCTTGCATCTCCTCATAGCTCAGGCCCTCGCATATTCCCTGCAATCAGCAGAACAGAGATTCATCAGCTGGAGTAATCACAGCAAAACTTCAATAACAAGACCCTCGTTAGAAAATCACCCTTGATAACATGTGTTATTTTGACAAACCTTTGATATTGTATGACAGCCAACCACATTTTATTGCAATCCTCGATAACAAGTCTGCCTTTATATTCCGTCTTATTTGATAATCCTCATGACTTCATATCGAGGTTCAACTGTAGTTTCAAAAATAGTTTGGCCCTTTTTTTGATACTTTTCTCTGTTTCTATGACTATTTTCATTTTTATTTTATTCTGTGCTTATCTACGACATTAGTGTTTTTACCATGCTTTGTAAGAGAGTGGTCCAAACCCTTGTTACTATTAATTTGTTAAATAGCACCAATTAATATCCACATAACTAATGGCGTTGGGGTACAGTATCCACCTCGCTTGGAATAAAATCAATGACCTTCAGATTTGAAGACAAGCACTACAACCAATTGGATAGCCAGACAATTAACTAGGTAAAACAAGACAAACTTACAGCATCAAGTTCATTGAGTGCCTCGATGGGTTCAGAAGGAGCTGCGATGCCAGCGGCCGTCTGTTTGGTGCGGCGCTTCTCACTGGTCCAGACATGAAGGTCGGGAATGTTGGCATCATTGATGTACGTAGCCAGAGTCTTGGCGTACATGCGACCGCGAGGAGACAGGTCTGTGTCTCCTCCGATGCGACCCACCACGTTGTATTCACTCTCCCCATGCTGGAACAATGGTTTATTTAGTTTTTTCTTAGTTTGCATTAAATTGTCCTTAAAACTTTAAATAGTCTTTTTAGAATAGTTTAAAAATATATACATAAAACAGAACACGACTCGTGTACCATTATTTCTTTATGCATAGCTTTTTAAATGGAGAACAATAATTAATTACTTAACTTGGGGGTAAGAAATGTACCAAAGCTTGAAAGTACAATTTTGTTCGAATTTAGTGCTCTCTTAGACTAGGTAAGTGTTTTAAATTTCAAAACATACCCTGGAAAAGTAAAGTGTCCTGGCCCCAGGCTTGAAGCTTGAAACAAAAGACAGAATATTGGACTGGTAGGGACCGTTGATACGATGCACTGAGACATTCTCCCCTGCAACACAAAAATACATTTTAGTAAAATTTAATTTGTTGAAAAACATTGTCTTAAAAGTGAATGTAAATGTAAAAACAGTTAAGAAGTAAGGTAAAAGAGTTAGAATCAATGATAATATTCTCTTCCTATGCTAGAAAAATCAACAACTTTAATTGATGTCAGGTAATGTCCTCACAAAGATAACAGGTGGTTTGGATGTAGCCTTGACCCTGGTTGCTAAGCTTGTTTCTTGGTCATTATTATCATTAGGACTTGCCCAGTAAGGAACTTTTAAAGCCACTCACCATCATTGAATACTTTGATGTAAGTGTACTTGGACTCCTCCCTCGGGTTGACGGGCTCGTATTGCTCCATGAAGTGTTCAATCTTGTGATGGAAATCATCCAACGCCTTCTCCTTGGTCATGTGCTTGTAGTCCTTGCTGAATTGCAAGATCTCCTGCGAAAACATAGACATTATACTTAGGAGTAAAAATTTGTATGTTTGATTGTGTTTGATTACCTTTGTAATATATAGTTTGGTGGCAAAGTGTTGAAGAAGACCGGAGGCTTGTGAGAAAATGATAATATGCAGTGGAGTATCATTAATCTGTATCAATAGGGACCAAATCCTGTTTATATGATTAAATTTGGATAAAGCAGGGTTTATTCATACAAGATTTGATAAAGGTAGTCTAGAGCATCTGATGTATCAAGCATTTTTAAGGAAATAAATCATGAATTCTACTGCAATTTATACTGTGCAGTGATCGAACATCAAATCAATATACCACCCCACCCCGTATGAGAGAGGAGTTTTTATAATGCCTATTTAATGTAATCCTGTTGTACGGATTACGTACATTTCTGGATAAGCAAAATGTTTGGATTAACAAGAGTATTTGGGTCCTTGTTTATACTTTAACACCTAGTCATAAATAATCATTTACAAATTTTACATTCATAACTCAATCTTTTTGTAATGATTTACATTTAAAATTTACAAAATTAATCTAGATATTTACCTTGATGTTTCTTTCCAATATCATATCATCGTCACAGATACACTCGAGAAACAAAACCTTGAAGTTGTACTGCTTGGCGAAGAAATCAAAAGTGTTCTGACGCATCTTTGGCGTGGCGTGAGTTCCATCAAGAATCTACAAAGCAAGATTTATCATTAACTATTAACTTAAAACTTAAAAAATGTGATTTAAAAAATCTGACTCCCTGTATGAATACCAGTACCAGTTAGTTATCTCTTTTTAGCTATAAAAATGTGAATGAATTGTTGAATAAATTACTAAAACATTATTTTATAACATTGGCCACTGAGGCCTGTGAGTGGAACGTATCCAGCAAAGCAAGGGATGAGCCAGTACAGTACAAGGGTGAACTTTACTGATTAAAAGTAGTGTCAGGTACCAGGATCCAAACCCACGACATCGCTGCCTTTGGCCAGAAGTCCGTTGGCCCTAAATTCTTCGAAATCCATTAATTTTGTTGTTTTTCACACTTACCGCAATTTTTCCCTCGGACTTTAGAAAGTCAAGAGCATCTTCCATAGCTTCTTTTGCGCTCTGCTGGATGATTTCGTAAGCTTCCTCATTGTCAGCTCGGAAGATCTCATGGCTGTCATAAAGCTCGATGTGCTTGCGTCGGTAGAAACTGATGCTGAACACTGCAACAATCAAGTAAATCAGTGACCTATTGTGTAACTCCTCTACTCCTGCCAGTATGACTAGTCGTAAGCTACGAATCTAGTAATGTTATTATTCCCTAGTTTACGAGGATTACAGTTACATTTAATCTTATGACTACAATCTGATGGATGTTGCTCAGCTTTTATGTAATCTTAGCATTGTGTATTAGCCGTGGTATTAGTGAGGGTCTATTTTGTTCTATGTTTTATTTTATAGAATATAATAATACTTGTACATCGCACTATTCCAGTGAAGGTTTGCTGCAATTTGAATTTGAAACATACATGGAAGCTAGCAGAAGCCATAACTACAATAATATAATTTAGTAATGCAAAATTTTCGATCAGAATTGTTTAATTAATTTTTGGTATTGTTATTGTTTACATTTGGTTCATTCTCTTAGCTGACTAGCAGCTGATTTCTTTATCAATAGCTCAATTGGAGCTTTTCTGTGTTACCTATAGATTAATTTGTTTGTAACTATTAGTCTGGAACGTGTTACATTTAGATTTGCGTCTAGCTCAAAAACCGTTTAGTTATTGTTGTGGTACTGTAAATGGTTTTTGCTTTTTGCTTTCATTATTCTGTTAGTTTTGAAGGTTACTACTTTTAGCTCTAAATTTTCTTTTAATAGCACCTGTAGGCTTAAAGTGTTCACTTTTACTGATTTTTAATTTAATATATTCTTTTACCTTTGACATAAATGTTTGTTCATATTTGAATGTTTTGTTATCGTTAGACTTGTTTGTAACTTTTAGGTATAGAATATTCTGTTACCTTTAGACTTGAGGCCGTTCCAGTTGAGATAACGGTTCAACTTGTGGGAGAGAACAGTCTTGCCTCGGGCAGGCAGTCCGACCATCGCCACCACCAGCGGCGCAAAGTTGTCCGCTGAAAACCCACAACATTGTCAGAGAAATAGTTATCACATCACAATACAGAGGTAGTCATGAAGAAAAACAATTCATATACGTCTTTGCACATCAGTACATATGGAGTTTGATTTAACAAGAGCATATCACAAGCAAAGTATTGCAGAATCCTTGTATTTATTGCTTCACTTGTGACGATGAAACCATTGTGACAGATATCAAGGCTGTGTCAATCAACTTAACCTTAGTCAAAGTTTGACCTTTGATATTTTCATTACATAAGACTACGGTTGATCATGTAACCGGGTGGTATAATGACAGGTGTTATGTTCAGAAAATAAATGTCTGCTTGTGATTGTTGTATTAAAATACTTGGTGTTTTTACTGAAATTTATACATCTCAGTCTTAAAACAGTTTTGCTTTTATTTGAAATAATGTTAGGTAAAAGGTTTAACTAATGGATTGAAGTGGTAAATTTCCCTATAGGGGAAGAAGCTATTGCCTTAGTGGCAAAGCAAGACATTGACCGGGACCGATTTCTTTTTCGTTTTGATGCCTTCATAGAGGTCAAAATCGCTGTTGAGTCAAATTTTGTATACATTTTATATACTGTACCTGTCTGTAAACTCTATAACTCAAGCAATTTCGGTCTGATTTTGCTGAAATTTGGCATGAATTTGTAAGGCTGGATAAACTTGGGAATGAGTTCCAAACCAGCCAGATCAAATCACGGACAAGGTTTTAGAGAGTTTTAAAGTTTTTCAATAATTGGGGTTTTCAAATTTTTACGCTTAAAACGTGAAAATGTCTAATCTTAATTACAGCCATCGTGTAGAGCTAAAAAACAAATAAATTTGTTTATTTGAAGCGTTGTTATACAATTAAAGGATACGGAGGCAATCCCAAAAAAACTGTACATAAACCCCATTTGTTATTCTATTAGAGGAAAAGTAAACTGTTGTAGTTGGAACACCACTAGGTAGAAGAAATATAAATACAGAATGTTTTTAAAATTTGTAATCGTTATTATGGACAACCTAATGCGGCTACAAGTGGGAAACATTCGTAGAAAAAACTCAAAAACAAGATCAGCTTTTGAAAAATTATAATATATTTACAATGAAAGTTGATTATATCGAACTGTTATGTACATTGTGAGTATTTCCAGAATCTTTGAATCGACTCTTTTAAAGTCATCAGAAATTATGAGTGTTATTCTTTTTTAAATAACGCCTTTAATACTTCACAATTGCTCGAAATCAAGCAACAGGTACACTAGTGTTAGTTTAATGGGTAATAAATCTGACAAGTAATTACATATTTTAGTAAAAAGTCCAATCAGAAAAATGAAATGAACTTAGTCTGCAGGTTTGCTGCGACGGGGTATTTGTACCTTAACAGCATTTGAGTGGGTGGATAAGAAGGCTCTTCAAGACAACTATAGTTCAAAGGGTTCTCTCAGAAGCTCAAAACTCATTGACAGGGAGATAAATTTTAAAAAAGAACAAAAAACAAGATCAAAAAGTAAAACCATAGATAAAACATACTTGTGTTGGTTGGTTAGTCTATGGTAAAACTTAGGAATTTAATTTAATGGTTTCATGAAATGAGCCTACAACAATAAGCATGTGGTTAGTTTTTTTTTTTTTTCAATTTTGCGTGATTGGATTTTTAGTTAAATCATCTATTTAAATAACATAAGGTATAACAAGTCCCTATGTTTGCTGCTACAGGGTATAAATAAAGTGTATAATAAAGTGTTACAGGGTATAAATAAAGTGTTTTCATCACTCCTTAACGAAAGTAACTATTTTCGATAACAGCTGATATCAATGAAAGTAGTCGTTTCCCAAGCTCTAATTTAGGGCGAGGGAAAATCGATCAGCTGATTTTCCCTCGCTCTAAATTTACTTTCCCTCCGCTCTCAATTAGTTCTCCATTTATTCACTACGCGCGCCAGTGTTTTGTTACGGTTTAATTTAATGATTTTAATCAGCTGTATGTATTTTTAAAAGTTGTGTTATTCTTTTATTTTGATGTTTAAACAAAATTTATTGAGAAATATACGTAGGTTTCTTTTTAGAAGATTTTATTTTATTTTGATGTTCAATCAAATTGTTTTAATATACTGAGGTCTGCTATTCTGTGTTTGTGTATTTTTGTGTCGTGATGAAAAGTATCGTTCATAACTCGTACCGAAAGTTATTATCCGGCACTTGCTCCATTATTCCCGTCCTCGGCTTCCCCTCGCACGTGAAAATAGCTCTCACATACTCGGCTTCGCCTCGCACGTGAAATTAGGGTTCCCTGTGTTCGGCTTCGCCTCACACAAAAACTTGGGCGCGCGACGGAAAATGCCACTTTCGGTCCTAGTAATGAAATATACTATATTTTGTCAAATATTAATAGCTTAGTATAAAAAAAATTTGCCAAGTTTGATCCAAATACATCCATAAACAAGCAAACTACAAAATTCTACAATATTCTCCATGTAAATTACATAAAATTTTAAATTTACAATTTTTGAATTTTCTCCGTATCCAATAACCGTACAAAAACACTTTGATAAACTAAATTCTAAATTATTTGTTTTTTAAGCTCTTTAAAATGGTCTATAGAAAAAATGTGTCTTGAGGGTCAAAGATGAGAACACATTTTACCCCATAAAACCCTGTCCCCATGGTCCGTTCATGCTGGTTCCCGAACTCATTCAAGTTTATCCCGCCATACTCATTCAAAATAAATTTCATCAAAATCAGACAAAAATTACTCAAGATATCGCGTTCACGGACACAAATATAAATCTGCATACTGTATATACCATGAGACCTACCCTACGGTAATAGCTACTTTCACTATTAAGGTGTGTATAGTCAAAGATAAATCATCGGACGGTTCGTTTGTTTTTGTTATTAGAAGTCGGGCCGACCCAACTTACATCATTGGTTTTGTTATGACACGCCGATTGTTTACATTGACTATCATTGAGCAAGAGCTCGATTACGTCAGTCAGTTGTTAAACAAACAATTAGACTGTTTAGGTTCTCTCAAGGAGGCTACCGGACCTGTATCCAAGTAAAAATTTAACATGAATGAGGGATGGGCCAATCTTTATAAAGTGATATGTTCAGATATTCATGTTTTGTGTTCATGGTCAACACCTTTACTACCACCAGGTCCACTCCTAACTTTATTATCTGGGTTCGTACTGAACCCAGTACCAACTGATACAGTTACAATTACTGCCACAAGGATATTGTCCTGGAATTCGAGCATTTAGTAACAAAGCTGCATAGCATAGGAACTAAGAAGGAAAGTCCTGCCTCGGTGGGGACAAACTCATTATTGCATTCTAAAGTCTCGGCACGTTCTGCTCAACAAGGTCTTTGTTATCTCGTGAAAAGTGGACAAAAAATGGGCGGTGTTGTAACCTAACCGCCGCGGGGTGTCTGCCGCCGTTCCCGCCAATGTCCAGCCTGTCTCGCGCCAATGTCCAAGGTTTTCCTCTTCCACAGCCTTCGGTATCTCAAGGGCTATCCGGGCTGGTTAACGTCACTGATATACTATACTTAGAAGTGGGTAATGTAATAAATGCGTAGTAAGCGTTTGAGTGGAATTTTGCAGACTTCATTTTGTTTACTATGAATTTAAATCCAATTCGCCAAATTTTATGAACAAATTAGTAGGGTTGAGTATTCTTATTTTGATTTCATAGGGGTTTGGAATTACACAGATCAATGACGTTTTGCGGAGATTGTCTATATAGACTTTTTGCAAAATACTTTACCTTTTGAGAGAATTTTTGATACTAGCTATATACTATTTTTGTTTGAACAGATTTTAAGGCCAAACGGTTTTTAACGTAGGGGGTGAAACATTTTAAATTTAATTGTTAAGAGAAACCAGCTTTTTTACTTGTAAACTTTTTAGACATCATGTCACACCAGTAAAAAAAAAAACTTAGTTCGTAAAACAAACACTTATAATTTTTGAAGATGACTTGTATAAAGAAGCCTACTGGCAAAAAGGTTTTGTTAACTTATATAGCCTACCCTGTATTGTTCAAACTCAATATTCAAAATCTTTCAGTTTCATTGAAGATTTAAAATCTTTTACAATGAAAGGACAAAGTTTCCTATGACACATTGAAGGTCATACGCAGTTTTTACTGCTTTTAGATTTACCTTCATGTCGCGATGCTCGCTGGACTGGAGGTCTTTCCTTGAGCTCAGCTTGGACACAATCCCGGCACATTGTTGCGATATCCGATATTTAGAATAAATTTTAAATTTTTAAGCACTGCATGATCGTCTCTAGTTAGTGTTTAGATAACGACTGCCTTGCCAAGACTTGGGGATCGTGCCAAGCGCGCGCCAATCTACCACTACAATAGACTTCGTCGAGAACTTGAAACTTCTAGTGCATCAGATCCATAGACGTTCAAGTTCGTAGATTTTATATTAGTTATGTCTCTAAGCTTGTTTGAGTGATTGATGGAAATAAACAATATGTGGCCTATATAAGCGCGGCTTTATTGTACATTCCGACGTGTGAATTGAACTATAAAGTGACTCAGGTACATTGAAACACACCTCTTATGAGAGCGAGAGCATCGAAAAATATTTACGCCTGCCATAACGACGAGAGATGAAAGATAGCACTAGGCCTATTGTGTACGAAACTTAAGGAACAATGGAAATATGGATGGTTAAAACCCCAAATAGGGAATTTTATATTTTACAATACAAAACCTTTTTGTATATTGTTAAAGTTACCCAACATATTTTACCTAGTTTAAAAAAAGATATTTTCAAATGAACATTCTTTTACTTGAATTTCGTTTTATGTGTTTCAAACCATAATATCTCAAATGATAAGAATCTATCTATATATTAATAGGCAAGCATGTTTCTTTAAAACCTTTTTTCTCAGCTCGTGTGCATCGTGGGGTAAATCTACGCATACCGTTGGAAAGCTATTTTCCTGTAGGTGTGCAGAATCCCTTTATAAATTTAAATAGGCTCAAAGATAAGCACAAAAATGAGTTTAAAAATTTGAAAAAATTAACATGGATCTTATGCGTTGCTATGCTGGTTACGAAATAACAACGAAATATAAACAGAAAATCAAAACAAATGGAGGAAACTCCAATCACATGTTTTATTTACAGTGTGGGGTGAAAATAGATAAGTGAGTACATTACATATTTTTGGTCGAGTTTCGACCACTGGACGACCTCTCGTCTCTTTTAAATCACACAAGCACAAGCGTTTGACAAAAAATCAAAATACAGTACATATAAAAATGCCTTGAGATATTACTGAGCTATATAGATGGATAGATATTACTTGAAATATACTTTAAAAACAAAATACGTAATTTCCTTTATCTTATCTTCTCTGAGTACAGATTGATAAGCAATGTTACAAGTTACAACTGTACAACTGTGTGTGATAGGTGAAAGATTAAAACGTCACTTTTTGACACAGTTGATACTGATACGTCACGTTTGTTTTCAAGTGTTTATAGACAGTTTTCAAATATTTCACTCCACTTACAATAAATTTAAGATAATATTTGTTTTCCCGCAAAAAGTGGGTTTTTATTTACGTTTTAATTTGGTTAGTCCCCGTAAAGTTTTAAAATATACTTTTCTTGGGGCAATCAAGAATGTTTATGATCAAGATTATCACTGGTATTTAAATCCAAAGGTCATATAGCTTGCTTCCTTAAGGCCGTCTCGACATAGTTAAATTAAAAGTGAAAATCATTTAGTTACGATGTTGAATTTAAAATTATATTTTTAATTTGTTTATTTGCAGCTTGTACATAGTAATAATACCCCCTGCCACTGCAAACCTGCTGACTAAGCGAATTTCCATTTGACTGATTGGATTTACACTGAAATGTCTACTTAAATATATAACATTTATTACCTATTTAAATAGAATTAGTTTAACAAGTACTTAGGTTTGCTGCATCAGGAAGGGTAAAACAGTTTTTTTTTTTTGTAAAATGTTCATAGTTAGTAAGAAATAAAAACATTTTCCAAATTTGATCAAAATATGTTCATAAACAAGCAAACTACAACAGTTTACTTATTCTCCATAAGAATAACATGAGAATTTTAAATTTAAAATTTTTGGAATTTTCTCCGTAACCATTAGGCGCATAATACCGGCTTCAATATACTAAATTATTTGTTTTTTTAAGCTCTACAAAATGGTTTGAAAAGAAATTGCTAAATTTTATGTTTTTTGGGTCAAAAATGGGAAAACCCTATTTTTACCCCATAAAACCCCCCGTAAACCCCCGTTCCCATGATCCGATCATGCTGGATTGCGAACTCGTTCGAATAAACGTAGGTTTACACGTTTGTACCAAATTTCATCAAAATCGGATCATTTTTGCTCGAGTTATCGTGCTAACGGACACACACACACACACACATATATGAATTTGAACGGCTGGTGTTTTTGGCCTCAAGGGACCTCAAAACGAACAAAAATCGGTCCCGCGTCCAGGTCTTACCATGAGTACTACGGTAATAGCTTATTCCCTATATGGGAAATTCGCTAAAAACTAATACAATTATTTAAATAATTGAAATATATGAAAGAAAGCAACCACAATTTTGAAATTTGTTAGAACGGTAATATCAATTTCTTTGTTATGTCAATGATCTGTTATATTACACTAGTTGTTGAACTTCTGTGGTTAGTGAGAGAATTAAACCAAGTAAATGGAATACGATTTGTAAATTTGAATACAATAGTGGTGACGTCCCCAAAACAATGCATTATGGTCAATAGAAACAAAACAACACAAGAAAAGTAATAAAGTAAACCCGTATTAAAGTGAAGACGAAGCTTACGCATTTGAGCAAAGTTTAACTTTAAAAATATTTAGATTACGTTTTCTCTTATATCATCCTTACATAAGAAAATAACAAATAACTTATGTACAGTATTGATATATTGGGCGCAAAAATATTTTGGAAACGCGTACATAATGACACTATACTATAGACTCCACATTTTTGTGTAGGTCCTAGGATTTGTGGAAATATCAAGCAAATATGCTGACGTCATCAAGCATAAAAACGATAGTTATTTAAGTGGCACTTTGCGCTCGTGTTACACATATAAATAATTAGACTTTCAAACACTTAACAGCACGTTTTATGTTAAGTTATAAATCCAAGCGTTGAACGAAATGGGAAACACTGGAACAGCTGATCGTAGTCGTAGTATCTGTGTTGCCAACTTATTTTCAAGCGTACACGTATTACGTGCCTAATAAAAGCACACTGTTTTGTGGTGTTTGGTTGGAATACTGCAGTGCAGCAAAAATGGGAAAATGCAGCAATTAGCTTCTTTGCATGTGCATGCTACAATCAGTAGATGAAAGCCTGCTTTGTCAGGTAACTGTAGTAAAAATATATTGTGTTTTGATTAGGTCGTACATAATGAACATGGCGAATTGCAATATGTGCGAAATAATCAGTTGGATCAGCTCTACTGTACATCGTGCTTTTGACAACTTCCGTTTTGCTGTTCAAACGTTTAATTTTTGTATGTAGGAATACTTTTTTTGGTTCGACTGCAAACTACTCTTGTCATCACATTAATAAATGAACAAACTACTTATTTCTTTTATCTGTGATAATTAAACATGTACTCATCTTGATTGCGACGAAGTAATTTCAAGGTAAAGATTATCATATCAATTACAATGCATGAATGCGTCAGCAAAACACATGTTCAACACGGACACGGACTGACCACGTACACATCTTCATTAATGCAGTAATGTCATGGACAAAATGATCAGCGACAAGTAGTTCATCAAAGCACATGTTCAACGCTTCATTCCTTCATGAAGCCAACAAAGTGATCTTTGTTGCATTTCACAGCACGTGTGCGTTGGTTTGCTTGTGTAGCAAGAATAGTTCTGACGTTGGCTTGGTTCTCAGACTACGGTGTAGGTTGTAGCTCTGTGCACGCGCTGTTAAAAAAAAACGAGTTGAAAAATATAATTCCCGTAATTTTAACTGTTTAAAAGCCTATTTGCAGCAGGTAATTTTGAATACGCAAGAAGAGAACTAAACACTTTTTACTTTTACCTTCTTTGTGTAAACTTCATTCCGGGGAATGTAGATGTAATACATTTTTTATTTATTTTTTTTATTTTTTAAAGGAACCAAAAATATTGAACCACACAAATCTGATAATTAACAAACTATATTACCCCGCCATAGCAAATCTGCACACTAAGTGAATTTACATTTACCTAATTAAATAACATTAAACCGGATTAAAATCGGATCTTTTTCCTCGAGTCATCGTGCTAACGTACACGTAATATATAAATATGTCTATATTGTAGTATATGAATTTGAGGACAAAAAAAGAAAAAAAAAGTATATGAATTTGAGCAGATGTGTTTTTGGCATCTAGGGACCTCAAAACGAAAAAGAAATCGGTCCCAGGTCCAGGTCTTACAATGAGACCTACGGTAATAGCTTATTCCCTGTACGGGAAATTCGCTAAAATTAATCCGTACTTGTATGTGCATCTTTGATTTTTTTTGGAGTTTTTATCGACAATTTTCTTTAAATTTCTATGAGTATAAGTGCTTTTCATGTTATCTAAGCTGCTTATGAATGTATTGATTCAATTACTCATGAACTCTATCAGAAATCGTAGTCATCTGAATTCTGAAATTCTCCTACACTATAACACTAGGGCACAATTAGATTCTTTCTGCAATGTGATGTTTGAAATGTTTTAACAAATTTTTAGTTTTATTCTAATTCGAACTTCTAAAATGAGCCCCGACACATGGAGCTTCAAGGACACTTTGTGGTAAAAATAGCCTCAGTAGTCTAGCTTGCTTGGCTGACATCTTTATCATTTCCTTATCACGAGAGAACAAAAGATAAGACTTATGCAGACGAAGCAGCTCAGGTTTATTTTACATTACGTAAGCATACGACTCAGTCCAGCTGTGAAATTTTACTCCAACCAAAACCAAACACGACTCTCTCTTCTTTTCCAACTCTTCTCTCCCTTCAAAATATAGCTGCTTTTACAAAATGACCCATTAATTATACACGTGTGGCAATGAATTAGAAAGTTATTTAATGAGGATTTAACACTATTGAAGTGATTATTAGTTATGAGAATGGAGGTGGAAAGTTAAAAGCTCAACTGAGAGGGCAAAAATAAAATAAAACAAACGTCATGGCTTGTGTTCTATTTTTACTCTTCTGAAGCGCAAATACAAAGCGTGAGAAAATATAAATTGTTTATTACTTTGTATTGATACAAATAAAATTTATATAGTGAATGATGGGTGAAACAAACAACTGTGTCAGCGTTGATCGATAGATTCGTGGCGCTTTTGACGTTTACTTTTTGTGGCAGAGACGCAGGGTCTAAGGTGAGGGTCTAGCCTATATCTAGTGAAAACAAAAAGACAAAACTCACCTTTCTTGGTGAGCAGTTTCGGGCACAATTTGCCGTCGTCACTCTCCTTCCTCGCCAACGAAAACCCTGTGGGTGCCATCGCGAACTAGGTAAAAATATCACAAAATATAAAAAACGAGATAAATGCGAACAACCCCGGTAAAAAAGAGATCACAAAGTATGGCGACTACAACAACAACAATTCCGAAAAGTGGTCAGAAGAAGTATGTCTGATAAAGGACTGTAAATCTGCCCTCATGCCACTCACACGGTAGAATAGCGTCGATGCCAGTGTTAGGCTTTAACTGATCACTACGACAAATTAAGGATTGTTCATCGCGCTGACACAACCGATGAGGACGTTGTCTGGCGAGTACAACCGCTAGAATGGAACTTGGAGACGAGTTGGAGCGTGGCAGTCGTTCACAGTTACACTCAGACACTAGTCAGTAGACGGGCGTTATATTCTGCTCTCCAGCTTGAAGCGGTGGGTGGGGGTAATCGATAGAGGCTGGTCCCCTACAATGATAGCGGAGTTCAAAGGACGACTTTGCTAATAATTGATAACACACAGAACTACCATTGATTGGACAAATTACACATTTGAAGGCCTTGTTTATCAATTTTCATGAGTGTTGACAATCTGCGCTGTGTAGTCGCTGGTTCCAATGCAGAGGAAGGGATGGGTGTTGAAATTGGGTCATCACAACAATCTACTTGTTAGTCAAATATGTTACAAGTAGATGATTATAGTGTAGCTGACAAAGGCTGGGGTGTTAACTTGTATAACTGTATTATTAATCAAAATTGTATCAATCTTTAAACAAGTGTGATAACATCTAGGTCATTGGAAGTGCGTAGTTTAGTGAACTTGAACCCAAAAATATCGTATATTGTAGAATGATCGGTTTAAGATTTCAAAATGTTATAGTACCTTAAATTTGCCTTTGATAGTAACGCATTACTTTCTTTGTATTGTTAGGGCTTGTTAATTGATAGTCCAAGTTACAGCTTATTGTAGATAGTTTTTAATTGGGATACTTGGTAAAAAAATAAAAATGTAATACGTTAAATAACATTTAGATATATTTGATTTATCTCGGTTTTATGCATCATGTTGGTATAACTTATTTACCGTATTCCAAAACAACATTCCAAAATGTAGGTCAACCTGACGCTGACAATCGATGTACTTCAAACTTCCTCTTAGTCACATTTTGAATGTTATTGGGGAGCCAATTATTGTTTGTTGTTATTGTTGTTAGATATTATTTATTCAGTTTATAGCTTGTTGTATATTTATCATAGTTCATTCATTTATTAATGTCATTATTGTTATGAGGTTTTTGTGATTTTTTCTGTCCCGACCAGCTGATCTTGTCTCAAAGTTTTTGATGTTATTTAAGATGTTAACTGAACTCATATTTTAGAGTCAAATCATTGTTACCCCAGCTGTTAAATAGTATTTATTGTTTTGCTTAATTGTTAATAGTTGTTATTTTTCAACTCTTTTGCCAACAACCTTTAAATTTTATGTAAATTGGTATGTACCATTGGAAGAATAAATAAATAAACAAAAACATTGAACACTCCGTTCAATTTGAAGCAAAATCTGTTAAGCTCTCTCTGGAATATATTTTTCTCGTTTGCATATAAGTACCTATGCCATTTTTATTAAAAAATCCTTGTTATAAATACGAATTATTAACTAAAATAAAATACTAAAATAAACTAAGAAACTTCCAGCTGCTTAGTTTTAGTAAAATAAAAGTCATCCCATGTCAATAGACATGTTTAACATGTAGTCCAAACTATCTCTTATTTGGTTAGTTGTATAATGGTCTATTTGTTAATTATAACAAATTAAAATTATATAATCTGCTACTCTCAAAGTATTATAGTAGCATTGACTATTGGATACTGAAATAGACATCCCATTTATATGGATCAGCTGTCACCAATTTTTTTATAAAAAATGAACGTAGTTGTGTGAGCCAGTCACTGAATGCACCAGTGTCTAAAATTCTATTTTATACCTTATTTGTTGTTGTTGACCAGGTTGGTGGGTCATATTAGTTGCTAGAGGTCACCATAAGACATTCCCTAAGTTGGACTTGGCAAAAAGGTTTGTGTATTCGACAGAATTTAGTGATCAACACAATCGGTGGCTCACACCAACTACGACGATTTTGAAAGAAAAACCCTGGCTACAAATTTAAAATGGGGATGGAATAGTAGGCAAACATTTTATATACCTGTTAAATGTTGTACATTCATTCGACAATAACTCTTTAAAAAAACGTACAAATTATAAATATCGATTATTATATCTTAATTTCTTTCCTACTTTACCACAGATCCCTTCGCTATCTGAACTACCTTGAACCAACCCGCTATCCTTGAAAGTAACACTCAAACTGTTTTGAAACAGAACAAACAATATTGTTCCGCAATTCGGAATTTTAAAATGTGCAAGAGCATAACTTGCATTGTTGTACTCGGAAGTCGAGAGTTCACAATATTGATGAAAGAAAACCGCGAAGGTGACTAATTTTGATCGTCGGTGGTACAAAATAATCAAGAGTTGTGTCTTTTCTAAAATGAATACAATTTTCAAATTAAATATATTTTTTACATTATTTTATATTTGTTTTGTCGTCGCTTCCTATACTTCTGTAATAAATGTATCAAGTATTATTGTGTGGCATCAGCAGGCATACTTATTACTTAACTATCTAAAAGCTCAATTAAAGTATAAAAGTTAATCTTCATGAGAAACTGGTAATAATAGTTTAAATACATTTTAAAATAAATACGTCACCAATATTTTTGGTAATTGTTATTTCATGAGGCCTTATGCCATGGACATATATATTATTTTTGAGGTATTGTAAACATAACCTTCAGTTTGTGTAAGTGTCTACTGACGAAGCATAGCTGGCGAAAGGCCTCATGAAATAAAAAATACAAAATATTGGTGTGAAGTATTTATTTTAAAATGAATACAAATTATATTACTGAATTACGGTACGTTTCTTAGTCGAGGCTACTTAAACTTGTAAGCAAAACTATCTGATTTCAACCATTTGGTCAAACTGAGATAGAAATAATATCCTTAGTCAGTTGTTGAATAATGTTTGGATTGTCATCAGTTTTCACCTTCAATTCGATCTTTTGAGATTTCCCTGTTATCTTTATACTAGCTGTACCCGCGGGCTTTGCCCCGTTTAACTTCATATGTGAGCTCGTTCGCATGGCTCAATCACGTCCTGGTTGAAGTTCGTTCGCTACGCTCACTCACCTTTAGGTTGGAGCTCGTTCTCTGCGCTCACACGTTCTGGTTGAAGTTCGTTCGCTACGCTCACTCACCTTTACGGTTGGAGCTCGTTCGCTGCGCTCACTTGCCTTCAGGTTACCTCGTTCGCTACGCTAACTCACCTCCGGGTTGAAGTTCGTTCGCTACGCTCACTCACTTTTGGTTTAAAATTAGCTGTTGTAAAATATATAGTAAAAAAATAGTGCTGCACTCTGTTGGTAATCCTTGTAACTTTAATGCTATTGAACATCATAGAACAGAACCAACTTGTTTAATTGAAACAGCTGTTAAGATTCATTAATTCCATTTAAATATGAGTACTCATTACGTTAACATGGGAAACTCCAGAGCCACTGGGGCGGAGCCCGAGAGTCCGATCAGAATAAAAACCACTTAGTTTTCCTATTTAATGACTAAAGAATCAGTGTACCAAATTTCAGCCTCCTAGGTAAGTGGGAAGTGGGAGAATTAGTGATGAGTGAGTGAGTCAGTCAGTCAGTGAGGGCTTTGCCTTTTATATATATAGATGTACCGTATCTCAATATTAAACATGATTAAAAGTATGCTATCCGCGCAGTATCGTTTTTGCTGGCTTAGCCCATATTATGATATACTTTGGCTAATCCTTTATGACATATTTTGTATTTACAAGTATTTTTTTTCTATAAATTATTGTTAGATCCACTTCCACAGTTTGTAGTCTACGATGACGTTCTTCCAGAGCATAGCTAATGGGTTTCTTATTAGTTATCTCTCGTCTACCTCTGTCCATTCTCATTGTTGTTGATTGTAGGGCTCGGCCACTTTTGGTCCAATCAGAGCTCTAGATGTGACGCAATCAAGTTGGTCTTGGGCCAGCTGGGTCTCGGTAACTGCGTCACCTTTGTATGTACTATTTTCCATGTACAGATAGGGTAGCTTATCTATATTATTTACAAGAATGTTTTGGAATTTTGTGTGCAGCAAATCGACCCCCAAAATATTAATTTTTATAGGCAAATTGGGTATTAATAAGCTGTCATCCTATGCCTTTTGCGGGTTTGGATGATATCTCGTGAAAGCCCTTTCGTGAGTTTGTGCTGAATTATGTTGGCAATCATCTGAACTGTTTCAAGTTCACGTTTGTTTACATCAAAACAGATGGCCATAATACAATTTTGGGTACTTTCCTGTTAAAGGGAACATTCATTATTATCGATGATTTCTGTTCGATATATCGATATTTTTGTTTTACTTCACGATTGGTATTCCTTCTGTTTTAATATCTACTTCAAACGCATTTAAATTACAAATTAAGAACTAACCTTGTTTAGGCAAAAATAATAGCCTATATATTGGATTAGGATATGAAACTATTCTAAACTAACCTAACATAACTAACCAAACTTGCTGTATAGGCTAAGTTACCGTTTCAAAATTCCATTTGATAACAGAAAAGGCATATGGGGAATAGGCTATCAAACGGAATTTTGAAATGTTACAGCAAGTTTGGTTGGTTAGGTTAGTTTAGAACGGTTTCATTTCAATATAATATTTTTTTTATTGTTTGTTGATACTGAGCAATATTTATTTACTGTATCCTATATCGTACTTATCAGCTGATATGTTTCAATTTGTTACTATCAATATATCGGATGGAAAACAAAAATATCGATATATCGAACAGAAATCATCGATAATAATGAATGTTCCCTTTAACAGGAAAGTACCCAATTTTGCTTACATCCATACGGGGTTATCTGTACTTAGGTGGTGGTGGTGATGTTTCAGTGAATTCAAGTAAAATATTGTAATGCTATTTTTATACAATGTAAAGAAGGTGTTGGATTTTGTGTTGTGATAGGATTTTGTGTTTTCATAGTATGTTTATGTTGTGTTTGTAAATATTGTAAATCTAAAGAAGGGATTTTGTGTTTTTATAGTATGTTTCATTAGAATGTGTAATTTTACTAAGATGCCTCGAAGTAATCGCGCACGCAATGTCAATAATAGGGCACATAATGCAAATAATAGGGATATGATGAGAAAAAATCGTTTTCACCCTTATCAGCTATATATCACATAAATCACGGATTTTGAAGCCACGAAGTGACGCAGGCTGCTACAGTATAGTTATTCCTAAAACAGCATTGATGC